TGTTATGTTAATCACCATACATTACATCATTAGTTTCTGATGTAGTGTTCCATGATTCATTGTTTGTGCATAACACCCAGTGCAACATGCAGAACGTGCCCTCCTCAATACCCATCACCAGGCTAACCCATCCTTCCCCCCCCACCCCTCTAGAACCCTCAGTTTGTTTTTCAGAGTCCATAGTCTCTCATGGTTCGTCTCCCCCTCCGATTTCCCCCCTTCATTGCTCCATGCAGAACATGCCCTCCTCAATACCCATCACCAGGCTAACCCATCCTCCCACCCCCCTCCCCTCTAGAACCCTCAGTCCATCATTTTGTTTTAAAACACTCACTTTTCTGGCATGACAAGGTGTTCCAGGCTCATCTTGTACTTTCTCTGCCTAGCCATGCATGACCATTTCTCCGAAAAGCCCTGGTTCCTTTTGTTGGAGAACGGTATTTGGAAACCCAGATCTGGGCACTCATTGCTTTGGGTTTCTCCTCTCCTTTCTGTGCGGTTCTGTTCTTAATTTGTTATTATGTAGTGAGGTGGATTAGTTTGTCTTCTCTGCCTGTTCTACTAACGTTTTGCCCCTCACCCAGATTCACCCTTTGTGACCTACTCTGCAGTAATGGGGCTGGAAATTAAACGTTTCTCCTCCACAGAGAGCAAGACGTTGTGATTTACCAGTGAAGGGCACTGGGGCGGGGGCGGGCATTATAGGGGACAGGCGCTTCTCTTCCCGGTTCTAGTGCGCTACTGTTTTGTTGGCCTCTCACTCCTACCACGTGGCTGCCAGCAGTGTGTGGGAAAATCCAGGGCTGCTCCGCCCCATAGGCTTGTCCAGAGCACATAGTCGCTTGGTGAGCTCACAGCCTTGGCCCCCGTCCAGTGACCACCTCACTGTGGCGCTCCCACCGTGGACATCACACACTTATGCTGCTCTTCTGGTGAGCGGGCTTCCAGGACCCCAAGCCCTTTTGTGTGCCTGTCTGTTGTCATGGCCACATCTACCCCAGGGGAATGCTTTTTGGCTTGCCAGGCCCAGCTGCGGTTCCTTCCTGCCGGCTTCTGCCGGCCTGCACCCCGGAAGGGTAGTTCCTGCCTGCTTGGTGGCTGCGCAGGAGCTCTGGCCCAGGCAACCCCCTAATTTTTAGCATTCACTGAATGTCTCCATCTACCACACCCTCTCCAGTGAGATTGGAATCTCATCCTCGGGGAGAGGACCCTTCCAAGTTTGTTCATTCCTTAGGCTCTCCGTCTCTGCGTTAGAGCGTTCTTTAGAGTTCTCTGTACACCTTTACAGTTACTCCGCTGTGGGAGTTTATATTAAATTTCCCTGTTCAAATGACTGCCTGATTTCTACTTCCTGATGTGACCCTGACTCATACATACCCCATATTGCATTCCCTTTCCCATCCTTGTTGATTTTATTTATCTGTCTATCCTCAGTAAGTGAATCACTATGATGGTTGCTAAAAGTCCGAACTATATACAAACACTTACCAGGAAAAGTCACTCCCCTCTCCCTACCCTCCATTCTGTCCTGTTCTCATTTCCCCAGCCTTTCCAACTCATTCTACCTACTCCTTGTTTCTATCTCATTAGTTTCTATTTTTTTTTTAAACCTAGCAGGCTTTTTTTTTTTTTTTAAGATTTTATTTATTTATTTGACAGAGAAAGACACAGCGAGAGAAGGAACACAAGCAAGGGGAGTGGGAGAGGGAGAAGCAGGCTCCTGGTTGAGCAGGGAGCCTGATGCAGGGCTCGATCTCAGGACCCTGAGATCAGGACCTGAGCCGAAGGCAGACGCTTAACAACTGAGCCACCCAGGAGGCTCTCATTAGTTTCTAGTTTATCCTTTATTTCCTTTTGCACTGTTGAGAAAATACATGCATGATTCCTGATTTCCTTTTCTGTAAAAGGTAGCATCCTATTGACAGTCTTCTACATTTTGCCTTTTTTTTTTCACTTCACAATATATCCTAGTAAGCGTACCACGCCAGCTCACAGGAATCTTTGTCATTCTTTTCACAGCTGGGTAGTACTCCACTGCCTGAGTACTCCACTGTACTAGACTTTATCCAGCCACTCTCTCAAGGATGGATATTTAAGCGGTTACTGCACAAGGCTGCAGTGAATAATCTGTGCATACATATTTTTGTATTTTTGGAGATGTATCTTCAGGGTAGATTCCTAGAAGTGGGATTGTTGAGTTGGAAAGTCAGTCCATGAATTGCTTTGTTAGTCATTGCCAAGTTCCCCTTTCAAAGGGCTGTGCCAGTTTGTATTCCCACCAGCCATGCATGAGTGTGCCTGTTTTCCCCAGCCTCGCCAACAGGATGTGTTGTCATACTTTAAAATTGTTGCTTATCTGATAGGTGAGAAATGGTGTAGTCCTAACTTGCATTTCTTTAATTATGAGCTATTTGAATATCTGTTCACAGGTTTAAATGCCATGTCTATGTTTATAAGTGAATTTTCTGTTCCTGTCTTTTTCCCATTCTTCTGTTGATTCTGGTCCTTTCTCCCTTTTTAAGAATTCTTTAAATATTGAGGGTTTTAGCCCCTTGTCTGTGGTATAAGTTACAGACATTTTTCCCCAGTGTGTCAGTTGTCTTTTGACGTTGTATATGGTACTCTGGCTGTGCAAATGTTTTTGTATTTTTGTGTAGTCATGTTTATTGATCGTTTCTTTTGTCTGGATTGTGAGTTGTGGTTAGAAAGACTTTCCCTGTACCAAGATCAAAGAGGAATTTACCCATGTTTTCCCTAGTATTTCTATAATTTAAATGTTTACATTTGATTCCTGATCCATTTCAAGTTTATTCTTATGTATGGTGCGAGATACAGATTTTATCTCTTTCCAGTCAGTACCCAGTTTTCTCTGTCTTTGCCCCAGCAATTTGAAATGCCTCCTTTATCACGCACTAAATTTCCATATGTACTTGGGTCTCTTTTGGGATTTTTTATTCTATCCCTCTGGTCTGTTTGCCTGATCATGAGCCAGTTGCAGACTGTTTTAGATAGAGAGGCTCTAGAGCAGATTTTAGTGTCTGGTAGAACCAGTTTCCCCTACAGTTGTGCTTTTTAATTGATTTCCCAGCTATTCTTGTACATTATTTTTCCATACTAACTTGTCCTTGATAGTTAATATGATTCAATTATGTGATGCTAACTAAATTAAGGAAGCAATTCAGGGGCTCAGAGGTACGTTTGCTTTAACAGTTAATAATTCATGGGGCACCTGGGTGGCTCAGTCATTAAG